CTTATGTATTTAGTACTTTTTCAATAACTTGTTAGCTTTAAAGAATAAATGTATTTGCATTTTATTTTTGTTTACACTTTTGATTGATGCAAAAGTTATTATTTATTTTTAAAAAAAAATTTTCCTGTTGAATTAATTAATTCGAAATGTACATAAATTATATAACTTTATAAAGGTATATAATTTATATATATATATATATATATATATATATATATATATATATATATATATATATATATATATATATATATATATATATATATATATATATATATATATATATATAAAGAAAATGCTTAATACAATAAAAAGTTTGAGAACTCGTAATGAAAACAAGAGATATGCTGGTTTGCCATCTGATCTTCCAGTTAGTGATCTTCCAACTTATAGGCAAGTGGTTCAATATTCCTACTTTATTTTAAAAAACACAAACAGTATCAGAAATATTAATTCTCCAAAGATTGTTTCAAAAGTTGCCAGTGACCTTATTGATCTGTGGATTAGAGTAAATCCTAAGCTGCCTCTGATACACGAGAAGTCAGTAACCAAAAAACGTTTCAGACTTTTCATCAAAGTTTTGTCTGCAGAAGGCAAATTCAAAAATTCAAATAAAAACAAGGAGTATCTTGATTGCAATTTTGAGCGTTTATTTGATTTGTCATCATGTAATTGTGGACTTCCAGTAATAGCTTGCAATGATAAGTAAGAAAGGCCTATTTTTATTTTAATATATTTTAAAATATTTATAATTATAAAACAAAAATCAATATTATTAAATAGTTTCATGGTTTGCAGATCTAGTTTTCATTTAAGTTTATTTTGTAGATAAATAAATTATGTTTTGAACATTTTTATAGATCTGTGAAGTGTAGGAACCAACCAGATTGCAAGACAACACATTTTGCTTGTCTCTGTGAAGTTAACAAAAAGGTAAATAAGTTGAAATTATAAAAGTTAATTTAATTTAAGTCTATAGTTTGTTAAACAAGTAATCAGAATCAAAAGCATGTCAGAAAAATAACGTAATTAATTTTCTTGGACTTTGGCAACAAATCATTTTGTTATATATATTATTAAGAAACGCATCATTGTAATATAATACAAGAATATATTATATATTGTTTTTTTACTTGACTTCATGTGTTTGTAATATACAATATATTTGTTTTTAATTGACTTAATGTAAAGTAATTGTTAAAAAGCTCTTAAACATATTATAATTTTTATGTTTTGCAATTAAAAAAAGTTTTACATTTTTCAGGTACCACTATTAGATAGAGAATATTTGAAGGATCAAAAATTGAAAATTGGAACTATTGGAAGATTTCAAATTGGTACGATTGATAAAAAAGCAGTTGCCATCGAAAAAAGAAAGCGAGACCGTGAAATTAATCAGCAGATAAGATCTGCTAACTCACTTGCTACAGAAATTCAATGTGACCATTATATGGATTGTGATTTAGATAATAAAAATGACTCAGAAACAGATCCTAACTGTTCGATAACTGCACCAGCTGAAAGAAATCAAACTTATTTAACAAACTTGGCAAAAGCCGCTATTAGGTATGAAATAAGCAATGTTGCAACAGCTGCATTGGCAACAGCTGTATTAGTTGACTATGGAATTGTTAAAGAAAGTAATAAAGCACAAATAATAACAAAAAAAAATTTTTTTTGGGAAAAAAAAAGAATCAGCAGTATTATAAGCTCTAAACATTTAGCTGACATTAAAGAATTAGAGGTTAAAAAAGGACAAGTGTACATTGACACATTCTATCAGGTATAACAGTAATGGAGATCCAGTTGTTGTTGCTGCAATCAAAGAAGAATACCATCTAACATTTACAGCAGAGAGTGGACCCACATCACAAAGTTATTTGACTCATGAAGTTATACCTAATGGAATTGGTGCAACCATGGCAAATGCTACTGCTAATGTTTTGTTGGAATTTAACAGTGTTCAGAGTTTAATAGCGGTTATTTTAGATAATACAAGTTCAAATACAGGTTGCGATAGTGGTTCGGTTGTCAAACTTGAAAAAATTATAAACAAAAACTTACACCTTTTAGGATGTTTGCTGCATCAGAATGAACTTCCACTGCGACATATCATATCAGAATTAGATGGAAAGACAGTTAGTCCTAGTTCTTTCAAATGGCCAATCAGGGAGGCTGCATCTAATCTAACACTTCATGAACAGCCATTGTTTCAATTTGTACCCATAAAGTCAGAGGTAGAGTTATTGTTAACAAAGAGATTATAAGTGATCTTAGTACAGACCAGCGCAAACTCTATGAGTATTGCGTTGGTATTTCAAAAGGTTTTATTTCTGTAAGGTTTGTTTCAAAAAAACCAGGACCAGTTTGCCATGCCAGATGGCTAACTTTAGCACTCAGAACTATGATGTTATATGTTAGGACTAAGGAGCCATCTCTTGAGCTATAAGCAGTAACTAAGTATATTGCACAAGTTTACTGTGTAATGTGGTTTGCTATCAAGCACTCTGGACAATACAAAGATGCTTGTCTACTCCTATATAAAAATATTCATTTGGTCAAGCTTCAAGAAAGCAGGATTCAAAGTATCGCTTTTACCAATCTCCAGTGAAATTCATACTGTTGTTTGCAGGAAAATTTTCTTTACTGCATGCTGCAGGATGAAAATATACATATAAGAAATCGAGCTCTTAACCAAATTCTTATAATAAGAAAATTAAAAGAAGACATTACTTTCAAAACTCAGCTTAAACCAAAATCGGTAATGAAAATAAATTTTGATGCTGGTTCTTGGGACTTTCTTGTTTCAGTTGATGAGATTCAAATTAAGCCACCAGCAACACTTAGTGTTACTTCAGTAAAAATTAGAGAGGCATTTGAATCTGGACAAAAAATTTGCCTAATTGATTTTCCTAACAATTCGCAATCCGTTGAAAGAGCAGTAAAACTAACTTCTGAAGCTGCTAAGCAGGTTTATGGTCTAGAAAAAAGACGCAAATTCATTTTGGCAAAGAACTAAAGTCGAAAAGAGAATAAGAGAAATGTAAAAAAATGTGATTATTTTATAAAATGACTATCTAATTTTGCAATTTTCTGTGCGATTTAATTAAAAACAGCTTGCTATGACAAATGCCATAAAAAACATTCTGACTAAGTTGTTTAGTGTTGATAAATTAATATTCCTTAAAAATAACAAAGCTACAAAAGATATAAATCGACTGTAAAAAACGTAACAAATGGCTAAAAATTAAATCAGGGCCATATTAAGGTGGGGGCGGATAGGTCTGCAGCCCCTGGCCCTGACAAAAAATTCCCCAAAGCCCTTCGGAGGCGTTGTGAATAAATAAATAAATAGAGATTCAGTAACCTATTTAAGGTGGACCTATACAAAAAGATCTATATAAAAGTTTTACCCCCCCTAATAAATTTAAGACCCCTTACTTGGGGGGCTTGCCCCACAAACCCCCCTGGAAGGAATTTTCTAGCCCCTAGATCCCCAGGTATAGCCTCGCTAACACTGGGCATTTTTACCTCATCATCACATTAGGCCCTCCTATAATAACAGTCCCAGGCCTAAGAATGCCTTAATCCGGCCCTCAATTCAATTAAGATATATATTTGAACCGATTTCCCAAAGTGAATATAAATTAAACAAAGTTAAATTTATATTTTTCTTGTTATTTATATTGCAATGAACATATTCCAGTGTGACTCTTTTCAGTTTTCAAAAAAAACACCTTCTAGGCAGTGGCTTAATATATATATATATATATATATATATATATATATATATATATATATATATATATATATATATATATATATATATATATATATATATATATATATATATATATATATATATATATATATATATATATATATATATACAAAATTATTATTTTTACTATTATTATTAGAATATAATAATATAATAATAATAATAGCAATAATAATATCAATAACAAAATTTTTTGGCTCCTAACTAATGGAGGCATTTTAAATAAACTTAAAATCAATTAGAACTTTAAGCAACTCTAAAAAATCATGTAAGAAATACAAATAACAGTTAATAAATAAATTTTAATCTTTGTAAAAATATAAGTACTTTGTAAATGCACTATTGTACTATGTATCATGTATGTATCAAGGTTTTATATGTCTTACTTTGTGTCATTTTTATGGGAAAAAACTGCTTATAAGCATAAATAGATCATCACAAGTTATATGCAACATATTTTCAATGGGAAATCACATTTATCAAATATTACTAGCTAGTCTATCATTTAGATTAATCATTAGATGTTGAGCGCAGTATTATGAGGGACATAGTGAGGATCAAACTTGGAATTCCTTGCATATGAAGCGAGCGCTCTACCACTACACCACTATCAATTGTAATAGTATTAAATGTAAGTACACTAAAGCAGGCTTGTGGAGCTGAGCCAGGGCAGGAGAGCCAATGTTTTCTGGTAGCCCGGAGATGCAAAATTAATTGACTCTTGTGAAAGTTAAGCATTTACATTTTAAAGAATTTTCTTTAAAATGTAAATGCTTAACTTTCTATCCTAATATATTTTGTTGGACAAGTTAAAACAATTAAATAACTTCCAGGTGTCTTTAAGCATGTGTATTATGTATTCTGTGAAATGAATATTCTTATTATTATTCATGTATATTGTGTATTATTTTTTATCTGAAGCCTTTGTGTAAATTTGTCACTTACACTAATTGAATTTGAATAAAGAATATCACAAACAGCTAAATAAAAAACATATTAATTACAGGTAAGACAAGCAAGTGTTGCTGGAGTAACAAATTTGATCATAACTCAAGTTTAACCAGTAGCAAAAATAAGACAATAAAATTTAAATATGTCGTATTTAATTTAATCCATTATTTAATAAAAATACTAATAATTATAAATTAATTTAAAGATAATTAATTTAAATAAGTTTAATTTTTTCTAACCTTTTTTTTAATAAAAAGTAAAACTTTACCTCATGTATGGGTCCACACTGAGGTATAAGTTTTCACATAGAAATTCTAAAACATTTGATAAAAAGAAAAATTACTAAAAAAAAAATCAAAATACTTCTCAGCACATAATACTTTCTAACAATTTTCATAACTTAAAAACGTTTATAGAATATTAAAGATCAAAATAAAGTTTTAAAACAAACATATAACATTTTATTGTTTTCACTTTTCAAACAATCCATCATTTAATCATGGTGTTTGCTTCACCATTAGACCCTAATCTTCCTCTCATTAATTAATTAAATCATTGAGGGGAAGGTTAGGGTCTAATGGTGACTAATTATATTTAAAAAAAAATTCAATAAAGTGCTTTATTTATATATTCATTTATAAGTTTGATAAAATTTGAGAAACTTTTAACAACTTGTAATTTAAAACACTCTTAAAAAAATTACCGTGAGTAAAAACAAAAGAATTACAATAACTAATTTTATATCACATATAACATTTTGAAAATGTAGAGTTGTATAAAAATGTTAGATTTAGCAAAACAACTTAATGTGTAAAAAGTATAACCTTAGTACTAATAAACAACTTAGAAAAAATAATCTCTGCAAATTCTTCTATCCTGAAAACAAACAAAACAAATGTAACAAGTATAATTTTGGTTAATATATTTTGGTTAACACAAATATAATACTAACTTTTATGAATTCAGGGTTTCTGCTAAATTATGATATTATTATGTTTTGAAAGATAAAAGAGTTGCCGCAACATTTACACTTTTTAAATTTATTTCAACAGCTATAAAAATCAGAGATGTGTATATAAATAAAATAAAAAAGTAAAATATCAAATAACAATGAGAAAACAATACAAACATTGTGACAAAAAAAAAAATCACTATTTGGCAAAGGACAATGCACAATCACTGTGTAGTCAAGGACAGTCCACAAACTGTTTTGCCATTATTCAAGCAATTTTGCCATTGTTCTACTGTAATTGCAGAATAATGGCAAAACTAAAGTCATAAACTTCATAAACTGATTCTTAATAGGTTTTTGCTTATTATAAATAAAAATCCTGATAGATTCAAGATTATTAAGGTTCAGAATAAACTGTTGTCAATAAAGGGCAAGAATTAAACTTGCCTGTAAAATTTTACAGAAGAGAGTAAATAAACAACGACATCTCTGTAAAAATCAAACAACGCCAATGCAGATATCAATATTTAAATTATTTATTTGAAGTACAGATTCTGTTCTTATTTCTGAAACAAAAGATCTAAGCATTTTTTTAAAAACTGATTTCAAAATAATAAATCAAATACACACACAAAAAATTATATTATACATATATATTATTATTTCATAGTTTTGTAATGATATATATATAAAAATACATATAAAAATTATGAGTTGGCAATAATTTATCATAAAGAATAATAAAACTTTAACAACTTATAAATATCTTCATATAAATATCTTACCATCATCTGCTAAAGTAGGCATAACTTCTTCAACAAGTTCAAAATCTTCTTCTTTTGGAAGTCCATCAAAATGATTCTTTAGTAAAAATGATTTAGCAATTACCTTTCCAGTCATTGTATAATTTGTACTGTGTATTTGAATTGTTTGGAATCACTAGCTTAAGAAATGTTTGGATCACTAGCTAAAGAATCACAACAGATTAGGAATTAACAAAAAATGACACTTGATCAGCATATCTATTGGAAATTTAAGTTAAAACAACAAACAATAAGCAACAATAAGCAAGGTTTAAGGCTAAATTTGTATTAATTAATTCTCAATTACTACCTGCACTTACACTGCCTAAATTGCACTTGTTTTTAATACTTAAAGGAAACAAATTGATTTAAAAAGTCAATCGTTATTTCAATCCATTTTTTTTTTTAATTATAAATATTTCTAATCAAACCATGTTTGCTTTAAACAGTCTTCTAAAACAACATAAACATATAGAACTATAATTTTGACAATTTTTTTCAATAAATTACTATTTGAAACTTGTAAATAGAATTGTGATTAAGTATTAATTCTAGACCTCTATTGACCATTATTGAACTTTTAATACCTTGCTTTGAAAAGCTACAGGCTCATTCTTTTATTGCCTAATTTTAATCAGTACCATATTCAACAAAAACAAAATTTAGATAAATCAAGCATAACCATTATTTGTGACTTTAAAGAAATTATGCTTTAGTAATCCAAGATGAAATACAGAGGTATCACAAGAACACCCAATAATGTCCTTTACATCCATTAGTGATATACTATAAAGACAAGGAGTGTATACTAAAATATATCTCCTTAGACAAGGAATTTATGCACAATTTAATTATGTACACTTTGTGCACAAACTTTTTCAACTAATCGCAGCCACATTAAAAAAAAAACTATCTGTTCAAATTATATTTTTTTACTGATGGTTACAAAGGACAGTGCAGAATTTGTAAACATTTTTACAACCTATGCCAACTAGAGAGAAAATTTCTAACATGAAGAACAACCAGAAAGGTACAATGGTATAACAACTCTACCTGGTCACATTGTCGTAATGTTGCTTCTCTTTCTTTTTTCTATAAATATTTAAATAAGCACTGATCTAAAAAACTAGCATCTCTTGTACCATTTATTTATCATTGTATTTATATGCATTTATTTATTATGTGTGTGCATGTGTGTATATATATGGATATGTATATGTGCGCATCTCTATGTGTGGATGGGTATTTGAAAGTGACTGATTATATAAATGTAGGTCTAGCTTCTTATATATAGCACTCCCCTGAACAACCACCACTATGCCCTTATTATTATTGTTAAGGTATTATTGTCTTTATAATTAACATCAATATTTTTATTAGTGTTATTGATGAAAACTATTACTAATATTATTATAATTGTTATTGTTATTACTACTGCTATTATCAGTATTAGTATTCTTATTATTACTGTATTATTATTAATAATTTTGTTAACACTATTAAGTTACAATTGCTCTATACCATCGTAGGTCCTTACAGCTTATCAGTTTTTTACTATTTGTAATTCTTCCTCACTATTGTATATATATATGCAGTTATTTAAGTCAAAATATACTGATTGATGATTCATATATATATATATATATATATATATATATATATATATATATATATATATATATATATATATATATATATATATATATATATATATATATATATATATATGTATGTATATATACCAGTAATATAAGTAATATTTCGATAGACAGTGCTCAATACATTACTGTACTGTATTTTTGTATATAATTGATGTTATTCAACTTTCTCCCCCCCCCCCCTAATTTTATGATTGCTTTTTATAGAGTAAACTATACTGATTCTAAATCATATAAAAACATAGGTCTGAAAACATGAGGAAAGTACTCTAAATTGATGTTAAAGTATAAAAATCCACATTAAAAACGCTAATATTAGCCATCTTTGTCATACTTGGTTATGATTAAATTCTTTTTCAATAACAACTTTAAAAAACCCTGGTTTCTATTGAAGCTTCAACTTAAGACATATTTCTTATGACTCTGACTCAAATCATGTACATTAAATTGCGCCAATTTCTATTTGTCAGTTGATATATGTACATTTATTTACGCCAATTCCTATTTGTCAGTTGATGTATGTACATTTAATTGCGCCAATTCCTATTTGTCAGTCGTGTATGTGCATCAAAAATATAAAAACAACAATAAAAACTGGGTCGTTAGTTAAAAAATTAATTACCTAAATTTTAAAAACAGTGTTAAAATACTTTTAAAAAGATGGTGGAATATTAGCATTTTTAATGTGGATTTTTATACTTTAACATCAAATTAGAGTACTTTCCTCAAGTTTTCAGACCTATGTTTTTATATGATTTAGAATCAGTATAATGTACTCTATAAAAATCAATCCTAAAAACAGGGGGGGGGGGGAAGGGGGGTGAAAGTCGAGTAGCGCCTATATAATTTTCGTTGTTGTTATGGTTTATAACATATATATATATATATATATATATATATATATATATATATATATATATATATATATATATATATATATGTATATATATATATATATATATATATATATATGTATATATATATATATATATTATATATATACATACATATATATATATGTATGTATATATATAATATATATATATATAATATATATATATATATATATATATATATATATATATATATATATATATATATATATATATATATATATATATATATATATATATATATATATATATATATATATATATATATATATATATATATATATATATATATATATATATATATATATATATATATATATATATATATATATATATATATATATATATATTATATATACATATATATATATACATATATATATATATATATATACAACAATTATTAATTGTTGATTATATATATAATATATATAATCAACAATTAATAATTGTTGTTATTTAACGTTTTTTTTTTTTTTTTTGTGCAAGCATTTAATTTTTATAATAAGTTCTACTATTTAAAGCTTTACAGTATGTCTTACAAATAAGCAACTTTGCATGATAAATTACTATTGCTATACATTACTGGAAAACTATATTAAATTAAAAAAAAAAAACCATGAATTCCCTAGATTTGTAAAACCATTTTTCATCTCAATGATAATAACTTCCAAAAAACCTTAACTTAGAAAATAAGGACAATCGGACCTTGAAGCTTTTGTTAAATTTTCTATAAAATATTAATCATGAAAAAAATAAAATAAAAAATTTGAACAAATTCAAAATATATCTCAAAATTTATCTCAAGTAAAATGTATCTGCCTGTTTTTTATTCTGACTAAATAAGGACTCACCTCAATTATAAACGTGTAAATGTGTTTTAATACAAAACTATAAAATATGAGCATCAAAACACATATAATTTATATATGTTTTTATTTTATATTATAAAATAAATAGATTTGGTATCAAACTAATTCTCCCTAAGTCTATGATGTTTTGTTTGCATTGCAAAACAATTGTTTTGAAAACTATTGTAATGATAAACAAAATTAAAAATAGTCATAAGTTACAAAGATAAAATCAGAAAAATGATAAAATAAAAACATTTATAAAAACGCAAGGACTAAATTAGAAATCAAAAATTAAAGTTATAAATCATTTTACATTTTTCATTTTCGTTCTGTTAATTTCATAAATAGCGGAATCGTATAAATTTGGTTTACAGCTTTGAGCAGGTCTTAACGCGTTTGTTGTTGAAAACAATATATTTTATTAATATTATTTATGAATCAAAATCAAAAATTTTAAATTTAAATCAAACTAGATATATTATATATTCAAACCCATTCTAAAAATATTCTTAAACCCTTAAATTTACATAAAACCTAATCATGGTTCCAAGGAATTCTTTGTTACAATTTAGGGATGTCCGGCCGGATATCCGGGCCGAATATTAGTATTATTCGATATCCGTTATAATAACATTATCCGGTTATAATCCGTTATAATAATATATATCCGTTATAATAACATTAGCCTTAAGGTGAGTTTCCACTCATCCGTTTTTCTACGGAAAAGGGAAAGGGAACGGAAAAATAATCACGTGAGCATGCGCAGTTTTCTTTCGGACAAATAAAAACTTTTATTACGCATGCTCACGTGATTATATTTTCCTTTCCTATCCCGTTCCCGTTGAAAAACGGATGAGTGGAAACTCGCCTTCACAGTGTTATAAAATAGGTTCTAACCTTAACTTTCTGACCCGGGAAAACCCTTTGGCGGAATGATAGCCCTTACTATGGGGATCACTTAGATATAAGTATCAAAATCAGATTACAACGTCCTGGCAAGTTATTTACATTTGAATTTTCATCCTAGTTAACACAAAACGTGTTTTAAACGTTAAATATACGTATTGATACGTATTAAAACGTATTATAAACGTGTTAAACACGTCTTGCGTTTAATAAAATACTTTATTGATTGCACAAATATGCAATATGAGCGCTTATTTTCCTTTTTGTAGTATTAAAAATCTCCAATTTACATAAATATAAACAAGGAAAGCAAAATAATATATTTTTGAAGTTATACAAGTAACAAACATAAAATATATTCAGAAAAAAAGTTTCTTTTAAATGGAACAAATTCAAAAACAACTTATTCTCAAATCCCTTCTTAAAATGACTTTTCACAAACAATGTTTAGTATTGAAGTCAACAATGCAACATTGCAACTTCTTACTGTATTCTGGATGATGATTGGGTCTTTTGTACCTTTGCCAATGTATCTGAAAGTTGTGATGCATTGCTTCTGTTGCCTGTTCTGAGTAAAGCCCAAGAGCCTGGCCATATCTGTCGATGAAATCTTTTACATGAAAAAATACTGCATGGACCTTGGGTGTTACAGACACATTTTGCAATGCCAGATAAGACACTCTGAATGCTTCAATTATTTGTGGGTAGTTTGGATTAAGGTTGCACCCAAAACAGCCAGATACTACCGCATTGAATTTTCGAAAAGCATCAATGAATGGGATGGCTGCATAGCATGAGTGTTTCTCAGCAATTGATTGAAGAATATCAGTATTGTGTAGCAGCTTTCTGGACT